TCTCTCTGCAAAGGCAGAGGAGGCTGGGAGCCACAGGGGAAGGCTCAAAGAGCCGCCTGCGGCTCCGGAGCCGCAGGTTGCCGACCTGTGGGTTAGGGTTAGGTCTCCGTGAATTCGGACTGCAAAATGGACATCACCAATGAACCCGGGGCGTAGGGGTATGCTTAGGAGGGCATTGACCTTTTCTCCCTGCGTTATCTATATTGCCTTGTAAAATACATGGGAAAATCCCTTTTGGAAAAACCCACTTAGGGTTAGGGTTAGGTCTCCATGAATTCAGACTGCATAATGGACATCACCAATGAATTTGGGGCACATGGGTATGCTTAGGAGGGCACTGACCTTTTCTTCCTGCGTTATCTATATTTTCTGGTAAAATACATTGGAAAATCCCATTGGGGAAAAATCCACTTAGGGTGAAGGTTAGGTCTCCGTGAATTCGGACAGCAAAATGGACATCATCAGTGAACCCGGGGCGTAGGGGTATACTTAGGAGGGTACAGACTTTTTCTGCCTGCGTTATCTATATTTCCTTGTAAAATACGTGGAAAAATCCCCTTGGGGAAAAACCGAAATAGGGTTAGGGTTACGTCTGCATGAATTCAGACTCCATAATGGACATCGCCAATGAATTCTGGGCGCAGGGGTATGGTTAGGAGGGCTCTGACCTTTTATCCTTGCGTTATCTATATTTCCGTGTAAAATACGTGGGAAAATCCCCTTGGGGAAAAACCCACATAGGGTTAGGGTTAGGTCTCCATGAATTCAGACTGCATAATGGACATCACCAATGAATTCGGGGCGCGGGGGTATGGTTAGGAGGGCACTGACCTTTTCTCCCCGCGTTATCTATATTTCCTTGTAAAATACATGGGAAAATCCCCTTGGGGAAAAACCACTTAGGGTTAGGGTTAGGTCTCCTTGAATTCAGACTGCATAATGGACATCGCCAATGAATTCGGGGCGCATGGATGTGCTTAGGAGGGCACAGACCTTTTCTCCCTGCGTTATCTATATTTTCTGGTAACATACATTGGAAAATCCCATTGGGGAAAAACCCACATAGGGTTAGGGTTAGGTCTGCATGAATTCAGAGTGCATAATGGAAATCGCCAATGAATTCGGGGTGCAGGGGTATGCTTAGGAGGGCACTGACCTTTTCTCCCTGCGTTATGTATATTTTCTGGTAAAATACATTGGAAAATCCCATTGGGGAAAAAACCACTTAGGGTTAGGTCTGCATGAATTCAGACTACATAATGGACATCAACAATGAATTTGGGGCGCATGGGTATGCTTAGGAGGGTACTGACGTTTTCTCCCTATTTTATCTATATTTCCTTGTAAAATATGTGGGAAAATCCCTTTGGGGAAAATCAGATTTAGGGTTAGGTCTCCATGAATTTGGACTGTGAAATGGACATCGCCAATTATCTCGGGCCGCAGTGGTATGCTTAGGAGCGCACTGACTTTTTCTCCCCGCGTTATCTGTATTTCCTTGTAAAATACATGGGAAAATCCCCTTGGGGAAAAACCCACTTAGGGTTAGGGTTCGGTCTCCATGAATTCAGACTTCATAATGGACATCACCAATGAATTTGGGGCGCATGGGTATGCTTAGGAGGGTACTGACGTTTTCTCCCTATGTTATCTATATTTCCTTGTAAAATACGTGGGAAAATCCCATTGGGGAAAATCCCGTTTAGGGTTAGGGTTAGCTCTCCATTAATTTGGACCGTGAAATGGACATCGCCAATTAACTCGGGACGCAGGGGTGTGCTTATGAGGGCACTTACTTTTTCTCCCTGCGTTATCTATATTTTTGGGTAAAATACATTGGAAAATCCCATTGGGGAAAAATCCACTTAGAGTTAGGGTTAGGTCTCCGTGAGTTCGGACTGCAAAATGGACATCACCAATGAATCCGGGGCGTAGGGGTATGCTTAGGAGGGTACAGCCTTTTTCTCCCTGCGTTATCTATATTTTCTTGTAAAATACGTGGGAAAATCCCCTTGGGGAAAATCCCGCATAGGGTTAGGATTAGGTCTCCATGAATTCAGACTGCATATTGGACATCGCCAATGAATTGGAATGCAGGGGTATGCTTAGGAGGCACTGACCTTTTCTCCCTGCGTTATCTATATTTTCTGGTAAAATACGTTGGAAAATCCCATTGGGGAAAAACCCACTTAGGGTTAGGGTTAGGTCTCCGTGAATTCGGACTGCAAAATGGACATCGCCAATGAACCCGGGGCGCAGGGGTATGCTTAGGAGGGTACTTACTTTTTCTCCCTGCGTTATCTACATTTCCTTGTAAAATAAGTGGGAAAGTCCCATTTGGGAAAATCCCATTTAGGGTTAGGGTTATGTCTCCATGAATTCACACTGCATAATGGACATCACCAATTAATTCAGGGTGCAGGGGTGTGCTTAGGAGGGCACTGACCTTTTCTCGCTGCGTTATCTATATTTTCTGATAAAATACATTTGAAAATCCCACTGGGGAAAATCCCACTTAGGGTTACGGTTAGGTCTCCATAAATTCGGACCGTGAAATGGACATCACCAATTAACTCGGGGCACAGTGGTATTCTTAGGAGTTTACTTACTTTTTGTCCCTGCGTTATCTACATTTCCTTGTAAAATAAGTGGGAAAATCCCATTGGGGAAAATCCCATTTAGGGTTAGGGTTAGGTCTATATGAATTTGGACCGTGAAATGGACATTGCCAATTAACTCGGGGCGCAGGGGTGTGTTTATGAGGGCACTGACTTTTTCTCGGTGCGTTATCTATATTTCCTGGAGAAATACCTGAGAAAATTCCCTTTGGGAAAAACCACTTAGGGTTAGGGTTAGGTGTCTGTGAATTCGGACTGCAAAATGACATTGCCAATTAACTCGGGGCGCAGGGGTATGCTTAGGAGGGCACTGACTTTTTCTCCCTGCGTTATCTATAATTTCTTGTAAAATACATGGGAAAATCCCCTTGGGGAAAAACCCACTTAGGGTTATGGTTAGGTCTCTGTGAATTCGGACTTGAAAATGGACATTGCCAATGAACTCGGGGCGCAGGGGTATGCTTGGGAGGGCACTGACCTTTTATGCTTGCGTTTTTTTCTTTTCCTGGTAAAATATATGGAAAAATCCCATTGGGGAAAAAGTCACATAGGATTAGGGTTAGGTCTCCATGAATTTGGACTGGAAAATGGACATCGCCAATTAACTCGGGACACAGGGTATGCTTAGGAGGGCACTGACTTTTTCTGCCTGCCTTATCTACTTTTCCTGGTAAAATATATGGGAAAATCCCATTCGGGAAAAACCCAGTTAGGTTTAGGGTTAGGTGTCCATGAATTCACACTGCATAATGGACATCGCCAATGAATTTGGGGCACAGGGGTATGCTTAGGAGGGCACTGACTTTTTCTCTGTACCTTATCTATATTTCATGGTAAAATACATGAAAAAATCCAACTGGAGAAAAACCTAATTTCGTTTAGAGTTAGGTCTCCATGAATTCCAACAACAAAATGGAGGTCACCCGTGAATTTGGAGTGGAGGAATATGCTGAGGGTAATGACTTTTCCAGAATGCCTTATCTAGGTTTCCTGGGAAGAGGCGTGGGAAAATCCCATTAGGGAAAAACCCACTTAGGGTTAGGGTTAGGTTTGTATGAATTCGGAAAGCAAAAATGACATCACCTGACTTTTTCGGGCTGCCTTATCTACATTTCTTGATGAAAAAGATGGGAAAATCTCAGGAAATGTAGATAAGGCAGCCTTAAAAATCTGTGCCCTCCTAAGCATACCCCTGTGCCCTGAATTCATTGGCCATGTCCATTTTGCTTTCCAAATTAATGGAGACCTAACCCTAATATTTCAGAGGTAGCTTGGAAATGTCAGAACCCTCCTAAATGTACCCCTACGCCTCTAATTCATTGGCAATATCCATTTTGTTGTCTCATTTCATGAAGACCTCACCCTAACCCTAAGTGGGTTTTTCTCCGAATTGGATTTTCCCATTTATTTTACCAGAAAATTCAGATACGTTAGGATGGAAATGTCCGTGCCCTCCTAACCATAACCCTGTCCCTCGGATTCAATGGTGATATCCATTTTGCTTTCCAAATTCATGGAACCCTCAGTGGGTTTTCACAATGGGATTTTCTTATGTATTTTACCAGGTAAGGTAGATAAGGTAATATTTAAAAGTCAGTGGCCTCCAAACGTACCCCAGCATCCTGAATACATTGGTGATGTCCAAATTCATGGAGACCTAACCCTAAGTGCATTTTTCCCCATTGGAATTTTCCCATGTCTCATCCCAGGAAACATAGATAAGACTACATGGAAATGTCAGTGCCCTCTTAAGCATAGCACTGTGCCCCCAATTCTTTGATGATGTCCATTTTGCTGTCCAAATTTATGTAGACCTAACCCTAACCCTAGGTGGGTTTTTCACAATGGGATTTTCCTATGAATTTACCAGGAAATGTAGTTAAGGCAGGCTCAAAAAGTAAGCATACCCAAGCACCCCAAAATTTATTGGTCATGTCCATTTTTGTGTCCAAATTCATGGAGACCTAACCCTACCCCAAGGGGTTGTTTTTTCCAATGGAGTTTTCCCATGTATTTTACTAGGAGATGCAGATAAGGCAGGCTGAAAATGTAAGTGCCCTCCTAAGCATACCCATGCCACCTGAAATCTTTGGCAATATCCATTTTGCTCTCCAAATTTTTTGAGCCCTCATCTGTTGTGTTTTATAGTTGGGAGGCACATGCCTGAAGTCATGCCTGGGATTTTTCAGCTATGGATAGAAAGATTTTATTCTATGGGCTTCAGACCCTCTATTGGAAGTTGAAGTCGTATAAAATCTTACAACATAATGTAACAACTGTATCTCTCTGCTGTAATAGAGTAAATGAAGTTGGACTGAATATATTCTTGTGTCATTTCGCTAGTTAATTGTAGCATGGTTTCTCTATCTCTTTTCTTTATAGGACCCCATGCAATTGTTATCTTGCATAGATTTCAGATACATTATTGATTCACTAACAGAAGAAGAAGCTTTTTGTAAGTTGCTTTTTAATAGGCTCAAAATTTAATATGTTTTATCTTACTCCGCTGATATTTTTGAACTTTTAAATTGATTAATGAAATATGCAGTTTTTACTCTATATATTTTATCATATTCCCCTTTGGTCTCCTTAAATATTCCAGTTCAGTTATACCTTTTGATAGATGATACTTGCTGTCTTTACACTTTGGGGTCTGTTTGTGTACCAAACTAACAAAACCTAAAGTATCCCAATCAATAATGATATAGTAACTCAGAAACCTTCATAGCCCTTGTAGAATGGTTTTCTGTATTATTTATGTATTGCAAGTGAAGGGATGAAGTTCAAAAATAATGCTTTGGTGTAGAATTCCCCAACCTTTCTGAATTGCTGGCCTGGGGAGGAAGGGAGAAAGAGAGGTTGGTTTTGTCGGAGGGGCAGGAATGTGTGCATGCGCAGGCCTAAGCACCCATTGGGCAATTGAGGCTGAGAGCACCTGTAATACTCATGTAAGTGAGGCCCCAAGCTCTCACACGAGTGTGGCTGTGTGCGCACATGTACGTGCGTATAGTAGCCAGCCACTCACGCAGTCTGGTTGCAAATAGAACATGGACCGGTTGTGGGCCGTAGCCCATAGGTTGGGGACTCCTGCTTTAGTGGACTTAAAACTGATGACTTTTTGCATGGGAACTCTGTTTCATAGGCTAAGTACTCTTAAGTTGATTGCTATGCCTGCTGTACATAGAATGTCAACCTTCAAATAACTATCAGATGGTAATAGAAGATAATTGTTTTTGTAACTACTCGCTGCCATCTAGCAGTCATTTGGATATTTGCAACCTGGAAATGATAGCCTTTCTTAGTGCTTCAGGAATTTCACAGGCTTTTTCACTGTGCAAGTCTATCCATGTGCAAAATGATCTGTATAGTTTTTTTCTCTAATAGATCATATTTAAAAACAAAACAAAATTAATGATCTGTTTTGGCTCTGATTTACACTTTATCTTTTCATTTCACTAGCAATTCTTCAAAGTGGTTTGGCAGGAAAAAAAGAACGGGGTAAGCAACAAAGTATTTATTTCCTTGTCAAATTAATAATTAATTAATGGATTATTATGTATCTTATGATGGTCTTAGAATGTTAAAAAATAACATCCACCTGCAGGGAAAGCAATGATACTTTTTTTGCAGCCCTACTTTTTTTTGTGAAAATCAAAGGTTTGTTTTATTCAGAATTATTCCCATGTCACATTGTGGGGAATAAGGGTTTTCCAGGGTATGAAATCTATTGCAAGGAAATCACATTTAACTGCTTGCATCATTTTATATATTTGTAGAAGAACAAATGTTAAAATATGGCTACCCAGCTTATACCACATCTTGTGCCTGGCTAGGTTATCCAGATCACTGCCTAAAGCAGGTTTGTTTTTTTCACCTTATTCTCATTTCAGCTTTGAGATGCACGAATATGCACAAAAAAAAATAACTGAATTAGCATTTTGCAGGGGAAGTTTTGAAAGCAAGCCCTATTCTAAATGGTTACATGTACCCTTTGGTATGGATGTGTTTGAGATGGTTTACCTACTGTTGTGCATGGCATGACATCTTTGGAGCAGAATGTTCACCTAAGAAAGAGATTACATGAATTAGTTCTGGCAAAGTAAGAAGCAAATAGCCTGAAATCAGACTAGTCTGTTACCCTGTGTGGCAATTGATTCTCTCACTAAAAGAGAGAATCCTATAATCTACTGCACTGCACAGGGAAAAAGAAAAAAAAGTAGAATTTGATCTCGCTACAGGTAATCCTCAACTTACAACTATAGTTGGGACCAGAATTTCCATTGTTAAGATGTCATGTGACTGCATTAATCAACCATAATCCCAGCAATCCCAGTTGTGGTTAAGCAATGTTGCTGGTCATTAAGCAGATGCAATCCCAGGTAAGGCATGCAGAGAAATTGGGAAAGAGGCTGGGAGGCTCCACTCAGGAGCTGAAAATCCCCTGCAGAAATCCAAGCAGCATTTTCAGCCCCTGATTGAAGAGAGATTCGCGTGCAACCTTCACTAGCCCTCCCAGGCTCTCTGAACCTGCCTGAAACACCTTGCATTCCTTACCTTACCATGCTGCCTCTCCACCCTCTGTTTTGATTTTTAGCTCTTCGAGTCTTAAGTATCTGAGCTCCATTTCTGCACCCCACCAGAGGAGTTCAGCTTCCATTGGCAGTCATCTCAGCCAGTCCGCAGAGAAAAGAGGGAGTCCCTTTGGCAAGCAGCAGCAATTTGCAACCTTCTCTGCCAGCTTCACATTGATTTTCTGGGGAAGCTTGCAAAAAAGATTGCAAATGGCAGTCATGGGTGCTTGGCAACGGGTTGTAAGTGCAAATACATTGACAAGCACCCAGATTGCAATCATGTGACTGCAGGAGTGGTGGTGCAATGTTTTGTAATGGCCAGAACTGCTTTACACTTTCCAAGACCCTCATAATTCTGGATCGTTGTTAAATAAATAGTCATAAGCTGAAACTAGCTCTGTTAATGGGATTTGCTTTGACACATAGGAATGACTAAAATTCTTTCAAAGCAGCTTAATTAGCTATTGTAGTAAGGTTAGTTATCAGAAATCTACATTGCCGAATCCTGCCTTAGCCACTTTCAGTTCTAGCATTTACCAAGAGAAGCTTAATTAATCCTGTTTATTTGTCCCATTTGACTACCTTGTTTATGATAGGCAGAGTTTTTGAAATAAATCACATTCCTTTTACGGTTTTATGTATACACCCTGTTTCTACTTGCAACAGGGGTGACTTACCCTTCCCTACTCTTGGGATGTAGCTGTTGCTTCCACTCACACCTCTTGTTTTTTAAGCAAGAACTCTTATCAAGACTTCTCTACTGATTGTCCTTCAGATGACTTGTCTGAGCAGAGACCTGTCATCCCAGTCATTAGTCTTCTGGCTGGGGTAGATGCTACTGGAAAGTAGCTGGTTAGAAAAGGCCAAGAGACCAATGAATCTTAAAAGCCAATATTAAAGGAAGCATTAACACATGGTTCACTTATGAAATATTCTTCTGCAGAAACTATACAGCTTTTTAAAAAACCTAAATATAGAATATACATACATATATACATACATATACAGTATATATATTAGTTTATACTTTCTAGAGGTCTGACTGATGTAATTTGCTTGGCAGCTATGCACTGAAGCTCTGAAAGATGGATGGACCAGGTACAGTAATGTTTTTCTTGTGCATGCTTCTAAGCACAATAGTAGATGTTGAGAGATATGCTGGGCAAAGTCACTCAGTGACCTCCTTCCTGCAGCTGGCTGATCCTGGGTCTTATCATTGTCGGTCCAACACCTTAAACGCTACACTATACTGAACTAACTCACTTTCTGAATTTATAAGATATACAACAATGCAGGAATACTTTTACAACGAACTGCAGAAACTCTGCTTTTTGAAAATGGTGTATCACAAGCAATACCTTTTTATTCCATTCCCCTTTTTGGCAGCAGATACACTATTCTCTTCAGATTAGATCAGTGTTTCTCAACTTCAGCAACTTTAAGATGTGTGGACTTTTTATTCCCAGAATTCGCAAGCTAGTGCTGAAGTTGAGAAACACTGATCTAACTCACTGCATTGCATAGGCAGGCAGAGAAAACAATAGAACTTGAACCTTGACTTAAAGCTCAGAAACACTGCTGTACGGTGTAGAGAAGTTAAAGAAAATAAACTTCTAAAAAAGTAAATACTTCTATGGTGTTGCCAATAGCCACGTAGTCATCAGGAATTAACCTGTGGAGAATAAGTTTAGTAGGCATAATTTGCATTGCCTGGATAGATTGGGAAATGATTTGCAGAAGTTTAAAATGCCCAAGTTTAAAATAAACTAATCCTGATGTAATGTCAAATTCGTTGAATTTTAGGAAGCCTCCTCTTACTTGAGCCCAATTTCAATATAACTTTCCCATCATTTTTTTTCTGATAATATTAATAATATGGAATAATACAAGAAAAAAATTTTCTACAATAAAATTGTCATAAATTTGGCAGTTATTGAGGAATAGTTCATATTTGATTGCAAATGTGTGTCTAGGTACAAGGTGAAAGTTGGAAAAGATCTCCAGGATGACATTCGGAGATGCAAACTTGTTAGAGAAATGATTGGTGCTGAAAATATACTGGTATGTATGTACATTTGTATGATACCAAATAAGTTATATTTTAGAATTTGAAAAATAGAGAAAAACTTATAGAAACAGATTAGTCAAGTCTTCTTATCAGTGCCCTGAATTATTCCTACAGAAGAATTTGATTTTCGTCTCGACATGCTTGCTAAATGTTTTTTGTTTTTTTAAAAAAAATGAAATAAAAATAACAGTACCATTTTTCAAGATAAATTTTCAGTAATATTAGCCAGCAGATACTGTATGTCATTTAGGGCATTGACCATCTTAGCAGTAGGCTTGTCTTAAGCCTATGTCACTTTACATCTGTTTTAATATAATTATAGGAACAATCTACAGCATCATACTGAATTTAGACTGTATTTATTCATAGTTGTTGGATGCCAACCAAAGATGGGAGGTGGAAGAAGCCATAGACTGGGTCACTAAACTAGCTGAATTCAAACCGCTATGGATTGAGGAACCAACTTCTCCTGATGATATTCTTGGACATGCAACAATTGCTAAGGTAAGAGACATTGTTTCAATTAATAGAGTTGCTATCCACCAGAAAGCCATGTTGATTTATTGGCTGGAGAGTTACACTGGAACTTCAGGATTCTAGCAAAAGTTATTAACATACGCCTGGTAAGAGATCCTTTCACATACTCAACATATATTCCATTAAATTTAAATGACTTTCATATTTTTGGATTATAATACAGTAAAAGACTGAAATGCATTTTTGTGTGTGAGCTGATTAATCAGCACTATCTTTGAATCATGTATTTTTAATATATTCGTGCCTAATGTCCCAATTATATACAAAAGATATAGTCAAACTTCATTAGAGTATCAGGGGCCTTATATGTGCACCATAGTAGAAATGCAGTACTGGATAAGATCTATTGATTTCATGCTGATTTAATGTACATAACTGTACCATTTATTAAGCGCATTCTTTATGGTCACTTGCTTTCTTATATGTAACTCTTGGTAATTAACTAATTGATTAATTTCAAAGCAAAAAATACTAACAGTGCTACTGATGTTTTCAAGTTTCTTCTAATTGTATAATATGGACAAACTGCAGAAACTGCATTTTGTTTATTTGTTGTAAGTATGTTTGGACACGCTTAAAAACCTATGGTATATTACATTTTTTTTTTAGGCATTAGCACCATTAGGGATTGGAGTTGCAACAGGAGAACAAGTAAGTTTATTTACTAATGCTTAATTGTATATTTTGAATGTTGCCGAGATAATTTTATGATACCTCACCATAGTTTTCTTTACCTACATTTCTCTTGAATTCTATTTGGGAAATTTTGTTCTGATAGTTAAAATCAGATGATTTCTATTACTTGGTGCCATTATATCTTAAGGAAACAGATAAGTATGGACTCATGCACACTCATTCAGTTAATTTAACCTTAAAATGTGGATAGGTTTTTCAGAAATGAGATTACTATCATATATTTGATCCATATCCATCATTGACTGGTTAGATCTGCCACAAGAAGTCTGACAGATGGGGATGGCTTAAATGTTTCATTGAGAGAAAGAGTTGATCCCCATGATTTCAAAGAATCCCATTCCAGACCCAGCTAATTTATGTAGCTTTATATGCCATCAGTTCCCACACTAACTCAATTTCAACAACATCTCGTGTAAGACTAGTACAGGAATAATGTAAGGTTGCACAATGACAATTGACTACAGTAGGGGGCAGCACTTCACCAAACTTGGCTGATCTCAAATGCTGTGAGGAGTCTAGATGGGAAATTTTAGGATTACAGACTAAATTGGGAGTCTAGTTCTTGGCTTGGAAATTTTACGATTATAGACAAGATTGAGAGTTAGAAAGAATGCAGAAGACAACAGTAGCAAATTACAAATTTTGTAACAAATTTTGTGACCAATAAAGGACAGAAGTATCTATATAGTCACTGAAAATAAAGCTCTAGCAGGAGACACTACTTTTGCCATCATGATAATGCATTATTTTATGACATACATTTTCATACATGACCACACAGTGTATGTATGTGATGGCATCAGTATTTAATCTATTTACACAGGAGTAAGCCTGGCTGGACTCCATGCTGCTTTTGAGTAGGTATGTACTCAGAATTGTATTAAATTCATGACTTAAACCTTCTTCCGTCTACCTTCTGGGTACATCCTGCAATGTAAAATGTAGAACAAGAGGAAGCAGCAATAAAATTCTCCTTCAATAAGCTATTTTAGTTTATCTTAGGATTCATATTTAGTCAAATATTTATTTGAAAATTATGGTCGATATAATAGTCAACTAGATGTTTAGATTAGATTTTGCATTTTTATTCAGCTGTTGAGTCTTCCTTAAGCACCTGATATAGGCAGATGTTTTTTGATGGTATTAAAGGTATTGCTGCAGGATGTAGGCTGTTGCAAGTAAAGCTGCCTTTTTCAATTGACTGATGGTGATTTTGTCAATGCCAGTAGTGGTCAAGTAGTGTTTTGGGATTGCACCTAAGGCACCTATTACTGTTGGTACTGTCTTTACTTTCTTTTTCCACAATTGTTCTGCTTCTATTTGCAGATCTTTGTATTTTGGTATTTCCTCCAGATCTTTCTCCTCTGTGCTACTGTCTCCAGGCACTGCAGCATCCACTAACCAGACTTTTTTTGTCTATCTTATCAACAATTGTTAAGTCTTGGGTATTGTGTGGTAGATGCTTGTCTGTTTGAATTCTAATGTCAGAGAACATTTTAGCTTCTTATTTCTATTACTCTGTCTGTTCTTCCTTGCAGACAAATGGCATTTCTTGCAGATACAGGTAGTCCTTGATTTACGACCATAATGGAACTTGCCCATTACAGATTCAAGTTGTAATGCTTTATAAAGCAAGTCATTCATGTGATCAACCCAATTTTATGAACATTTTGTGGTGGTCATTAAGCAAACCCTACAGTCATTAAGCATACTTATTGCCACAAACCAGAAATAAATGCCGATTTTCAGTAAAAATGTTGTACCTCACAGTCATATAACTGTGGGATATTGCAAATAGCCATAAATGTTGGATGGTTGCCATGTGCCCAAAATGTGGTCACGTAGGGGGTGGAATAGCCAGTGGTGGCTGGAACTTTTAAACTGGGTTGTAAGTACCTTGGGAGGAGTCTATTGTAACTTTAAATGGTTGCTAAGCAGCCAGCCATAAGTCAAGGACTACCTGTATTCCAACGCACCATGTCAATTTACATCTTGCTATGTAAGTTGCTTATTATCATTATACCCATACATACAGTTTTCTTTACACTGTTTATAAGTTTAAGAAAAAGTCCATAGGCTATAAACATGTTAATTTTCATGTGCTTAAAATAGGGTTAATTATAGCTTAGAATTTCTCTTTTTACACCAGTATATCTCCATGCTATTATATAACTAACTGGTTTTATGGAATAGTACATTATAACTTTCCATCCCATTTAGATTCCAGATGTTGGGGAGATATGCAGTGGTTGTAGGTTTTTGGAGTATAAAGGGAAAAAATATCTAGAATAAAATGCTTTAAATTACTTGGATTTTCCAGACATTTTTATAAGTTTTTTCTAATCATGCAATATTTTGAGTTAGAGAATGTTTGTTTTCATTATCTGCAGTGCCATAACAGAGTGATGTTCAAACAGTTCCTGCAGGCTCAGGCCCTGAGCTACCTCCAGCTGGACAGTTGTAGGCTTGGAAGTGTCAATGAAAACTTGTCTGTATTGCTGATGGCCAAGAAATTTCAAAGTAAGACTCCTGGAAATGCTGCAGTAACACCGAAAACAGAGAGAACAGAAATGTTAAAAATAGAGTGACACACATAAAGCCTTATATTTTATAATTCTTTGCAGCTGAGATAGATAGTTATTTTGAGGGTTTGGCTTCACCTAGAAGCCTGGCTTAAAAGCAGGCTCAGAGGCGTGAAATATGTATCAAAACAAATTACCTGTTTCTATAACAGTAATGAACAGCATGTGTTTTTCCAGATGCTGATCTTCAATTCCAATCTAGATAGTGTAGGCACAGATAACAAATGAAAATTGCATTCCCATTTATGGAGGGCCAGTTGGAAAGGATTATCAAGTCTAGGAAGGAATTTTTGAGGTGGAAAAAATACCACTAAATTTACATCGCTTCCCCCCCCCCCCAGTTCCAGTATGTCCTCATGCAGGAGGAGTCGGACTTTGTGAGTTGGTCCAGCACTTGATAATATTTGACTACATTTCAGTGTCTGGTAACCTTGAAAATAGGTAAGAGATTTTGTTTGTATTTTGGAACACTTGAAGCAGTACTTGTGTGTAGCTATGAAACAAAAATTAATCTCGGATTAGAGAAGACTAATGAGAATAAAGACCTTTCTTTGTATAACTTTGAAAATGTCTTTAAAATGGAAACAGAACTGACTCTAACTAACCTTGACAAGTTTCATCGTTCATCTGACTGGTATCTATAGGTAGTCCTCAACTTACAACCGGTTGCTTAAACAACCATTTGAAATTACAATGGGCCAGAACAGGTGCTTTATTCTTCTGTATGACTGGTTGCAGCGTTCCATGGTCATATGATCGCAATTTGTGAAGAAGGGAAGAATGAGTTTGCACTTATGATCACAGTGTTCACTTAATGATTGCTTTGCTTAACTTCATTTTTTGTCACAAAGTCGTAAAATTGGATCCGGTCATGGAGGTGCCTCCACGACTGGAACAACTTGCAACCAAAAGAGCCTTTAACCAAACATCTATTTCCAGTTATAAGCAACCTGTATATTTTTATAGGTGGAATAGAAACCCTTAATAAGTGCAAGATAGTTTGAATTGTAAATATGGTATTTCATCTGTTTGTTTTTAGGATGTGCGAATATGTAGATCACTTGCACGAACACTTCAAGTATCCTGTAGTAATCTCAAATGCATCTTATATGCCACCCCAGGTACTGCTTGCGTTCAATATTCAAAATATTTTCAGAGGTTTTACCATGGAAAGCTAAAGGCAACAAAATTCAGATTAAAGATTTCTTAGCATTCCAATTCTGCTATTTCACAATGTTTGACACTATCAATTTTTGTGTCAGGCTTTTTCGTAAAGGATGTTCAAATGGGCTTTGTGCATTTATGATATTTACATAAATACAAATCTAAATTTATAGATTAGTTACTGAAATATTTAAGTACCTTGACGCAAGTGTGAAGTTGAAGCCTCCATCTCACCACCAAATACAGTGGTGATTTCAGCTACTCACTCACTCTTAGCCTAGCCTAATGTGGGGCAATGATTTTTTAAGAAAAGAGCATTTCCGTGCTTGATTTTGAAGCAAAAATACAAATATAGATACAGTGAGGGGAAAAAGTATTTGACCCCATGCTGATTGTGTATGTTTGCCCACTGACAAAGAAATAATCAGTCTATAATTTTAATGGTAGGTTTATTTTAACAGTGAGAGATAGAATAACAACAATAAAATCCAGAAAAATGCATTTCAAAAAAGTGATAAATTGATTGGCATTTTAATGAGTGAAATAAGTAATTGATCCCCTATCAATCAGCATGATTTTATACAGGTAACAAACTGAGATTAGGAGCATTTCCTTAAAGGGAGTGCTCCTAATCTCAGTTTGTTACTTGTATAAAAGACACCTGTCCACAGAAGCAATCAATCAGATTCCAAAGTCTCCACCATGGCCAAGACCAAAGAGCTGTCCAGGGATGTCAGGGACAAGATTGTAGACCTACACAAGGCTGTATTGGGCTACAAGACTATTGCCAAGCAGCTTGGTGAGGTAACAACAGTTGGTGCGATTATTCGCAAATGGAAGAAACACAAAATAACTGTCAATCTTCCTTGGTCTGGGGCTCCATGCAAGATCTCACCTTGTTGAGTTTCAGTGATCATGAGAACAGTGAGGAATCAGCCCAAATCTACACAGGAGGCTCTTGTCAATGATCTCAAGGTAGTTGGGATTATAGTCATCAAGAAAACAATTGGTAACACACTATGCTGTGAAGGACTGAAATCCTGCAGCACTCACAAGGTCCCCCTGCTCAAGAACAGGCCCGTCTGAAGTTTGCCAATGAACACCTGAATGATTCTGAAGAGAACTGGGTGAAAGTATTGTGGTCAGATGAGACCAAAATCAAGCTCTTTGGCATCAACTCAACTTGCCATGATTGGAGGAGGAGGAATGCTGCCTAGGACTCTAAGAACACCATTCCCCACCATCAAACATGGAGGTGGAAAAGGACTTCACCGCATCAAAAGGACAATGGATGGGGCCATATACCATCAAATCTTGGGTGACAATCTCCTTCCCTCAGCCAGGGCATTGAAAATGGGTCGTAGATGGGTATTCCAACATGGCAATGACCCAAAACACATGGCCAAGGAAACAAAGGAGTGGGTCAAGAAGCACATTAAGGTCCTAGAAGTGCCTAGCCAGTCTCCAGACTTTAATCCCATAGAAAATCTGTGGAGAGAGCTGAAGGTTCGAGCTGCCAATGACTTGGAGAGGATCTGCAAAGAGGAGTGGGACAAAATCCCTCCTGAGATGTGTGCAAACCTGGTGGCCAACTACAAAAAAATGTCTGATCTCTGTGATTACCAACAAGTACTAAGTCATATTTTTTTTGTGAAGGGGTCAAATGTAAATCAATTTATCATTTCAATTTTTTGAAATGCATTTTTGGGATTTTTTTGTTGTTATTCTAACTCTCACTGTTAAAATATAATTAAAATTATAGACAAATGTACAAAATCAGCAGGGGATCAATTACTTTTTCCCCTCACTATACTAAATATTCCCTTCTTTATTGCTTACAAGAATTGTTGCCAAATCTTAATCAACAACGCATTTATTTAGTTCATATTATTAAAATATGTACCAAATTAAACTAACCATATGGACCACTTAGCTGTAGGATATCTATTTTTATATAAATATGAAATCTTTCTTTTAGGAGGCTGGGTATTCCTCTGAAATGAAAGAAGATTCTGTAAAGAAATACCTTTTTCCACAAGGAGAAGTTTGGCAGAAATCCTTGTCTTCCTAATGCAATTTAAATCAATTCAAATTCCATTTTTTTCCAAATGAAGATAAAATTCAGCTATTTTTGCATTGATGTTATATTAAGATATAAGAGTCAAGAGCTTTTGGAAAGCTTCTTCTGTTCACACAAAACAAAAATAGATTGTATTGCCAATGAATGTTCTTGATCAGTTTAAAAATAGGAGGCTTTTAATAGCTAAGTTTAAAGAAGTTAGATGATTCATCTGTCTTCAAGCTATTCCATAACTACAGGATTATGTAATGGAAGACTGCACTTTAAAATGTATGTGCCAAGATTAAAAGTTCCATATAAAATTGAACTGCATGTTGTGATGCAATATTTTCTAAGGTGGCTATTCCTTACAGAAAATAGAGTTGAAAGCCTGACTCTAGCTTTTAAATTCTGGTGAACATTTAACATAGAATAGCAATAGGGCCAGGTTTGGGCAGATGACAGTGATGGCATATTGTAGATATTAAAACATACATCAAGTTTTTGAAGACAACAGTGAAAACAATCTATTCCACTAGTCAGAAAATAGTTATTTTGGGGTATCAGAAATAGATTATGACCTAGATCATAGAGCAGTGGTTCTCAACCTTTTTATACCGGCAACCCCGGTCATAAGCACGCAGCACGCATGCGCGGTGCACATGTGTGGTGCCACCCCCTGCGCCAGCTGAGGCATAACCGGCAAGGGGCGGCAGCAGGCAGACCCGGACGCTCCCGGGCGGCCACGGCAGCGGCGGCGCAGGGTGACCACCGGCTGGGCCACCAGCTGGCCCAGCCGAAGGCAGGTAAGGCACCTGCCGGGCCCCACGCGCGCCAGCAACCCTCCCTGCACCCACCGGCCTCCCACCCCTGGCCCTCTTTTACTTACTTTTTAGTTGCTCAACAGGGAGGGAAGCTCTGCAGACTGTTCCCTTTGCAGCACCGTTTGCAGACTGGGGCTTTTGGCAGGCTCAGCAGGGCAGAGATAGCCCTGGACAATTCCTATTGGCTTTTGAAAGCCAATAGAATTAGACTCTGTTCAAGAGAGTCTATTCTATTGGCTTTCGAAAGCCAATAGAATAAGAGGGAGTAGCACAGCTAAGGAAAAGGGGAAAAAATGGCGGGAAAAATGGCGGATTGCGTTGTTTGGCAACCCCTGTGAAATGGTCATTCGATCCCAAATGGGGTTGCGACCCACAGGTTGAGAACCGCTGTTTTAGAGACTGAGTGCCCAAACTGCAACCCAAAACTCTCTTATTTATTGCCCGGTGCCAGGTAGGTGTGGCCTACTGAGTGGGCACGGCTGTGGTGGTCGTGGCAGACTGGATGGGCGTGGTCACCTCAATGTTGCTCTTGGGGAGGGGCGCCTGTGGGGGCCAGGCAGGGTTTCAGGAGATCCAGGGGGTCTCTGGCAGGTGGGGCGACGGGCAGGAGGCTCATCCTGCGGGGTAAGGAAAGGCAGGGGTGCTATTGCCGCAGAGCAAGGTAAGGCAGGGGCCACGGCGGCTGCTGCCTGACACCATCAGCCCCCCGCACATGGGGGCTGACAGTGTCCGTCAGCAGCCACAGCCTGCCAACCCCTCGACTGGCGCACTCCACAGCCCACCAGCAGCAGTTCAGAGAAGCTGCCTTTGAGCTGGCCAGCCGGCCGACAGTTGAGGAAGCAATGCAGTGGGTCGTGCCCGGGAAAAGGAGAGCATGTGAGGCCAGAGGGATGGGGCGGGGGGGGAGGAAACCAGCCATGCTGGGATGCATCCGGCCATGTGGAACCTCGCTGAGATACCAGGCGGCTGAAGAGAGACAGTTGCCATCTCCTAGGCATGGCACACGTGCCCAGAGAGGGCTTTGAGTGCCACCTCTGGCACGCGTGACATAGGTTCACCACCACTGAGCTAGATTTTGAGCTAGCTGTGGTGGTCCTAAGTAAGACACTCTCCGAAAATAAGACCTGGTGCCTTTTTTGGAGGCAAAAAAAATATAAGACTGGGTCTTATTTTCATAGAAACACGGTAGTTAAAATGAATATAAAGTTAAGGTCCTGCCATTCTGTAGAAAAAAGGAAAATTCCCTGCAAGTTACAAGGAAATACACAGAATTGCAGCCTATGGCTTAACCAATAGAAAGCTGGTACTCTTAGGGGAACCTATCTTAATAATGTTTATCTGCCTCCCCTACTTGAAAAAAAATGTAGCTTTTAGATAGTGCAGGAGCCATTCAATCCCACTCCAAATCTTAGTGTTTTGCATAAGTATGCATGGGACAGCTCTGTAAAACAATCTGGATAGTGAGTGGTCCTTGGTACTCTCTGAGCTTGTTTGTTTTCTTGCAGACATTTCATTACCCAAACTCGGTAACATCATCAGTGTTAGTAAGGTGTGCTGTTTGTTGGTTTATATTCTGGTGGCTTGCCTGTCAAGTGTTTTTTTTGGGGGGGAGCCACCAAACAGCACTCCTTACTAGCACTGATGATGTTACCGAGTTTGATTAATGAAACATCTGCAAGAAAACAAGCAAGCTCAGAGAGCACCATGTCAACCCTGAGCTACAAATATTCTCATGTCAACCCTGAGCTACAAATATTCTCCTTTATTGGAATTTGGATAGTTCTCTAATTTTTTTATTGTAGCTTCAGCCATTTTGGAAGACATCAGTAAAATTAGTCTATTTCATCTTAAAGTTGCTATCTACATCTCCAAGCTATATTTGTTGCATTTTTTCTATTCTACAGTGTTTTCCTACTGGAATTTTGCCAGGTTAACTTGAAAAATGAGTGATGCAGTACATCTTTCTCTTATGATTTCAACTAACGTTTATTACAACATATATGATTTATTGGATAATTCCAAACTACAGAAACCCTGTGCATGATGCATATATAACATTTTACTTCAGATTCAAGCATTATATGAAAACTGAGTATATATATTTTTTTAAAAAAAAATGGGTTTTGACCTTTTGAATGATTTGAATACAAATAATGCTTAATGCATTAACTCCAGGCCGAACATTAAAACAGTCACAGAAAAAGTTCATTAGACAGCCATTTCCATTTTAATAGCTGGGTGTGGTTGATAGTCCTCTATCTCAAAGTCATCTGCTCTGAAGTCATTGATGTTTTCAACTTTACGAAGAATTTTGAGCTTAGGGAAAGGTCTTGGTTGCCTCTGAAGCTGAAATTTAAATATGTAAATATATATTAATTACATGGTATAGAGCTGAATTAGCTGCTGAACTGATTGTTTATTGAAGACACTTTTTATTAGTAAATTACATAACCTTTGATTTAAAACGGTAGACAATCTATTTCATAGGGTGACATAATATATAACTATACCTGAAGATGTACCAGTAGCAATTCAACAGCTGTAAAAATGCTACCCTATTAAACTGGCTTTCATCTGCTAGTATGTAAGCCGCTGCATTTTGCAACAACTGAAGATTCCAAGTGGCCTTCAAACGTAAGCCCCTTGACAGCACATTGTAGTAATGCAATCACAAAGTAATAGGGACATAAATGGAGGCACCCGCTCCACCTGTTTTTCTAGCAGTAGCCATTAATCCAGGTTACCCACAAAGCTACTGAAAATCACAATCTTCTTCCAAGGTAGCACAAATCTTTCCAGAACTATAAAAGAGGTCACCAGAGACCCTAAAGATTTCTGGGCAAGTGTTTTCTCTTGTTGGGAATCAACTTTTGCTTATTTTGACCTATCCAGACTCATGCATCTCCTGCCCAACCTAGGCTAGAAATATAAAACTATTATCTATGTAACGATTATGCTCATGTGTTATCTCCTCCAATTGTGCTGTGTTAAATAAGATAGGAAAATTCATCAAATTCTGCAGTACTCCAGCTCAACATTTCTGCCCAATACTGACAAAACTATCAATTCAGGAAGACACAAAACTACAAAACTAACTCCTAAGATTTAAAAATTATACTCCATCCAGATCTTGCTGGAAATGAGTATCCAGTACATACAATGGTTATGATATTAAAAAAACATGGGAATAATTAATTGATATAATTACCTGTATTTTCAAGGGTTCAATATGGTTTAAATATATATGAGCATCCCCTAATGTATGTATGAATTCACCAGGCTATATAAAAAAAGATCATCATTTAGTATATGAATTAAGAATAAACACAGAAAAAAAAAGCATGCTGCTAGACAAGTTTGTTTCCTGAATGTATTGATTCTTCTTCTTCTTCTATACATTGGTTTGTTTATACTCCAAAACTATTTCTTTACATCTATGTCCTGGTTTTTTTCTGAGAACCTAGGTTGCTTAGAGTCTTCCCTTATTTTATCCTACTCAGTATTAACCAGGTGAGGTACATTGGGCTAAGAGAGAATTCCCTTCCAAGTATTTATCTGACACATAGGGTGGTGCAATTCTCTCTCCAATATCTAAGTAGAAATAGAACTGGGCTCATGTTTTGTTAAATTCAAGTACAACTTTCCTAAATGGATCTCACCTGCTTGGGAAAAAGAGCAGTCTCATTCAATCCCTATTTTGTTCATACAATGCCTTAAGTCACCCATATGTTCCATTTAGGGGCTTCATCCAGCACCAACTTCTTAACTACTACAGATTCCTAGTAGGATTGTATCTGAATCTGTATCTGTATTCTGTATTCTGAATCAAGTTTATGCATTTGTGTGTGTTTGGAACAAGATGAACCCATAAAACTTCATTTTTCACACTTCTACAAACCATCAATCTTTATCATGTAGTTATTGCTGCTATTTCAGTTATTGCAATACAGCAATGAATGTTGCAGATAAGCAAAAAAGTTTATAAGATATACGAGGTAATTCTGTCCTGTTATATAGATGTTTCAATACTGCCAATAAGGCTTTTTCCTCCAATACCACTCATCTTTATACATTTCCATGAAGTAGAACCAAATTTCTTCTGCACCTCACCAGTACTTAAGCCTCGGTATATATAAATTCTTCCAACTGAGGCAAGTGCTAAACCTTAGGCAGCACTGTTATGTAAATAGAACGATTAGGTCTACCACTAAATAACCTGCCACAGCACAAGCAATTTTCCATAAAGATCAGGTGTTCTTTTCTCAATTTTCCATAAATACAGTACATAGTACAAAACTATATTGCAAATATCTCTTGTAGTAAGCATAGGAAATTGAGTTCCAATGGCTATATAGATTTCTCATGCTGGCTAATGTTTTTCAAGTAGAAATACTAGAGCATTCGCTAATACTGTTAAGTATTGTAAGCTCTCATTCTTCATAGTAGTAGAGTGCTGCCAGAATTTACCTCTTTCCCACTGTCTCTGAAAATATTGGTAGAGTTCCATACCTTGCCAAACTGGCTTCACCCTGAGATTTGTTTGTTTTTCCTTGTTTCCCAAAGAAATAGTTTAAAAGATAGATACCTTTAAGCCTGTAACATGTGCAATCATTGAAGTAAGAAGTGAATAACTAGCTATGTTGAACGGTACGCCCAGTCCCATGTCTCCAGAACGCTGATATAGCTGACAAGAGAGTTCGCCGTTTAAAATGTAAAACTGGCAGAGAGCATGGCATGGAGGCAGAGCCATTGCAGAGAGATCTGAAGCAAAAAAACAAAAAAAACCCACACATTTTGAAAAAGAACAATAGCCCAAGAGAAGAATTCTGCTCATGCAATTATTCTGAATATCTTTGTTTTCTAAGATAGCAAATTTGTTTTCTAACAAAAGTTATAGATAACTATAAACTTCAGTGACTTGGTATTAATTATCATAATATACCTTTAGGATTCCAAGCACACATTATAATTCTTCTGTCATCTGGATTGTTTCTGATTGTATCAATTACTTGCTGCAGTTGGTCTACTCCTTCTCCTGTATAATCTACAAAAAGCGAAGCCAAGCTTATTTATATTATTTTTCAATACAAGAACTAATCTCAATAGTTGTTTAGCTTATTTATTATGAGATTGTTCCACTAAAGACAACATTATTTAAGAATTGCAAGTTACTTCTGGAAATGTCTACTAAATAAACCACCTAGGAAGCATCAATCACGGCCAATCAGCACAAATGTGTTTAGATAGTCTGGAAGACAGAATACAAAATGTATTTTTATGATGTCATCTCATTAAAAGGGCAGACATGTAAGCCATTTAATAACTGGTGATAGTATAAATCCACTTTAATTCTAGGGAAAATTTGAATTATCAATTACAATTACCTACTCTATAGTGATCAAAGTACTTATTAACAGTAGATGTAAACAGTAGTTTCCTGTAGGTTAAATGGGACCTGCAATACATATATGTATTATTTACATAACTACTGAAATTACAAAAAATATCTTTTAAAAATTCATTACTTCCAATAACAAATTATTTGAATCTTCTTGAAACAGAAACCTGCTTAATACATAACATGAAGACAATATTTTATAATTATTTTAAATTAGAGTTCGTTCTAAACAGAAATCTGAGGCATAGGGAATAAATCGGAAATACCTCTTATCAACTGTTTAAAGCAGTCGTGTCTTATGTCCTCATGTACTTTAATTATGGTAGTCCTCGCTTGCTGACCATTTGGTTCAGCAACTGTTCAAAGTTATAATATTGAAAAAATAACTTTACAGTCTACTTATGACCTGCACAGCATCAGTCACTTTAGTCAGTATGTGTTGTCCCGAGTCTGACCTGTGCTTTTCCATCCCCCACCCTTGCAAAGCATATTGATTGAAAATAAAAGGTTTGCAAGAAAGTAAGCTGTTTGTGTAACATACCTAGAGTTCCAAGTTCCGCTAACGATCATATTCCCATTAGGATAGTTAAATGAAGATTACCTGTACATTTTTGAAATCAAGCCAGTTTTAACAACTACATTTTTAGTATCCTAGAGTGTCTTTTTATGGATACTTGAACATGCAAGCAAATATTTAGCCATGTTTACCTGTATTCATATCTTTGTACTCGGCTCCAAAATGTCTCCACTGGAAGCCATAAATAGGACCTAAGTCTCCTTCCTCTCTAGAGAAAAATCCCTGTTTGTCTAAGAATTGCCGAGAACCATTGGCATCCCAAATCTTAACTCCCTTAGCAGAAAGCTCTTTTGCATTTGTAGAACCCTATTGTAATGAGGAAAAAAAATCATTTAGCAGCATTCAGAATAAACTCCATAATGTATTTTTTAAAAATTTGTAGAGGTCGATATGAAGCCTAATACTTTGGGAAGAAAATATCTCTCAACATTAAGTGATAGAATTCTAATTGCTGCCAGTGACAATTCAGTAAAACGGCAGATATTCAGAATACCAGTTTCAATACTCAGATTGTCTAATATGTTTTCTGCGTACGTTCCAGCTTATGTTTCTGTAAACAAGAAACACTTCAGTGATTGTGAAGCTACAAAGTATTTTTCCTTGACATACCAATTTTATATGGTTCTTATTGTACAAATTTTATTGAATTTGATCAAAATAAGATTTTGCTTGTTAATTACTTTGTATGCATTATATTTTCCAATTATTTTATTCTACCACTTTAGGAATATGTTGTTAAAAGTTAACAAAAATAATTTTAATATTACAGGGAAAAACAATTAAACTGACTTAAAATAAAAATAGAAAAACCTTCTTTTAGGTATATTATATTCATAATATTTGGCAAGATTCAAAATACTGCATCAGTTTATCCAAATTTTTAATAGTACTAGAATGCATTAATATGCAATACATTTTAAGCAGGCTAACGCTGAAGCTGTTTCAGGTTTTACTTTTCGCACGGCAGAGAGAAAATTAATCCAGTGAGATTTTCAGAGAATAGGTAGCGTTTGAAGTATAAAAGTTTCCATCCTGGTTATTTATTTATTTATTGATGAGCAAAGTAGATAGTCCCGTTACTTCACAGCACTCAAACTCACAAACTTCTTGCATGGAGGCTATGTTCTGTGGCATTCCACACAAGAGGTAGCCATCTGGAGCACATGTGGGCAATCTCCCATCTTCTCTTTATTCAGAGAGATTCCAAGGAACTGGTCTAATCATAGGTTCCTTGGTTCTTTGCTTTAATTGTTGACTCCACTTTCACAAAGTTGTCTTTAGTTTATCATGCCTCCCCCAGAGGTCTGAAGTATGTTCCTCTTTGGAGGTGGTGAGACATGCACGTATCCTATTTTAAAGAATTACCCTGATAGAAAACATGACACTCATCTGTCACTTCTATCCAATCAGGACTCTGATGTATTTTTTCAGGTCTCCCAGTTTTTGCCCCTATTTCTTCTGTTTGTTCAACCTAGATTAGAAGATTACTCTTGGTGATCTCCACTGATTTGTATTACTGTTATATTAATTTTAACATATATCCATTTTTAGCCTTACAATTTTAGATATGTTCTGCTATATAGTGGATTTTTTGTCTAAAGGCTGTAAAAAAGATTTGTTACTGATGTTGAATAATTAGCTCCACTTCTGTACTACCTTTTGTGGTTTGTAGACTGACACTTATCGCCCAGGACTCTTCTATTCACAGAAATCTGCTGCCTTCTAGTAGAATAACATACCTCATCTCTATCCTGTCCAAATAATTTATTGCTGAATTAATATTGGCCTATTATTTGTACTTATAACAAACCTTAATTTCTATTGATTTCAATGAGGCTAATTTGACAAACTTATTTACTATGCATTATACCTTGATAAACCAAAGTAATTCTTCAAGTACTCCCTTCCAGAATACTCTTTTAGTTGTTAGCAATGGAAAATCATCTGAAAGGAAGTTGAAAAAAATATTAGAGATATTGGGTTATATGCTAACTGAACAGTTTCTAAAGTCACTTAGTATACAATTCAGAGTCATTAAACATAATTCAGATAAATATTTAATCAGATCATATTGGAGTATTAAAATTTGGTATTCAGACTTTTGATTTTTTTTATCAAAGGAGAGGAAAAGTGCTTCCAGACTTGCAAGATTCTGTTACTGTAACCTTACAATAAAGGTACTCTCAGCACTCCTGGTTTTGATTTCTTGTCTGCACTACATCAAAAAGCTGACACAGTTATGGAAGCTGGAGCCCTTGGGCACCAAGTGACCCTGGGCCAGCCACTCTCTTAGCCTAGACTACCTCACAGAGCTCCTGCTGTGAGGAAAATACAGGACTTAGCAGCAGTTCGTTTAGTGAATGTTTAAAGTTTCAAAAGCATTGAAAAAAAGTGACTTAGAACTGTTTCTCACACTTACAACTATTGCGGCATCCCTACAGGCACATAATCAAAATTCGGACGCTGGCAACCGACTCATATTTATAATAGTTGCAATGTCCCCTTTTGTGACATTCTGACAAGCAAAGTCAATGGGGAAATCACATTCACTTAACCATGTTACTAACTCATCAGCTGCAGGGATACACTTAACAAAGCAAGAAAGGTCGTAAAATGGGGCAAAACTCACTTAACAAATTTCTTGCTTAGCAACATAAATTTTGGGCTCAACTGTGGTCGTAAATCGAGGACTACCTTTATAAGAAGCACTTCCTTAAAGTTCTTCCGCCAAAGAAAAGGCAGGCTATAAATCTGATAAATACATAACTAAACAAATTTTGGCGGTGTCGGTTGGGGGATCATTGCTCTTTCCCCATAGTTCCTGCCTTGAGACAAGGTCACCTAAGTGCTCCTAAGCAAAGAATTCCGGACCTAATGGGTTCGCGCTAAATTATGCAGAACCGGAGCAAGGAGCTACGAATTGAAAATCGATATCGGAATCGGGAGACCGAGATGGTCTCAGTCTTGAAATCTTCTGCTGCCTCCTCCGGTCTCCCACGCCTGCTCTGATCATCTCCGTTTCTTTCTTGCTCACGGATTATAAAACGGCCGGGACTTCCTTTTTGATACGTTTTATTCTTTATTTCCCGAGTGCCCTGAAAGCCCCGAAAAGGCACTTGAAGGCTTTTTGAGAACGAGAGACTCTTAAGACTTGCAGAAACGGCAGCGGTTTCCCGCCAATCCCCGAATTTCTCAAAAGAAAACCACGCACACGCAAGGAGCCGAAGGAGAGGGGATGAACCTCACCTCGGAGGTTGTACCGCGCCTGCATCCCGAAGATGGATAGCGTCCCTGTCCCGGTCCGATCCTCCTTTTTGTGTCCGAAGCGCAGGATCTGCTCGACCTGCTGGAGATATTGAATCTCTCCGTGACATGAGGAAGAGTCAGAGGCGGCGAGGAGCTGCTCCTGAGGCAGCGCGGGAGTCTCTTGCACGTCCAGCTCAGCCGGCATTGCGAAGTAACCATTCAGAGCGAAGCGCGCTCCTTTCTTGGCGGGAACGAAATTCTAGCGTTAGACTTGGCGCGTTCCCCGCCCACGCACCCCGGTAAACCAATGAGAGGAAGCGAAGGAATGCGTTTGCCCCGAGCCTGGATTGTCAGTATTAGCTGACTTTCCAGTTCCTCCGTGTTACATTCTACCTACTGTTGTGAGTAGAGTTTGAGTGCTATGTGCTTCCTCTTCAATCTCATGTTGGAGGAGGAGGAGGAGGAAGTATGGATAAGGTCTCACCTTGCTTGCCCTTTTTCTTACAAACCAAACTAACAAATGTGTCGAAATATTGTTTTCCAGAATATCCCAGCTGATTCTCAGTTGCTGATGCATTTTCAAGTTAAAGGATTTGTGGCAGCTGCTCGCTTTTCGGCTATTTTAATTCCCAACCCCCGGGTTGAATACTAAAATGATTGGTCCAGAACGTAAAGGTGCGGTTTCCATCTGCTTATTGCAAGCTCACAAACTTACTGTTACCTCCTCGCAACACATAGATTAAGCTAATATTGTCTAAAAGCTCGTTGGTCCTCGTTAAGATCAAAGCATCAATTTTAGTCTATTGCCAGAGACATTCTCATTTTAACTGCTGTTAGAGAAGCATTATAGTATTCATGAAGTTGATCTTCTGACACAGTATCACCATTGCATATTTTTGTCATTAAGATGCTATTTGCATGATGTAGAAGAATAGTACAGTTACTTTGTCCTTTTTATGTTACATTTTCCCTCTTTATGGGCGGGAGGGGAAGTGTGTTAGTGGCCATCCTAAGGTTCTCTTGTTAAGTTACCTATCCATTATGCCCTCATTATCAGGGGAGGTGTTCTCCTACATCAGTGCTGGCGAATCTATGGCACGCGTGCCAGAGGCGGCACTCAGAGCCCTCTCTGTGGGCACACAGGCCATATCCTTGAAGATGGCAACCGTCCCTCTTCAGCCAGCTGCCCGCTAACTTGCCAAGGTCCCACATGGCCGGATGCATCCCAGCACCTATGCGCTCACTGGCCTTTGTGTGCAGAGGTCGATGGTGTCAGGTAGCAGCCGCCCTGGCCCCTGCCACACCTTGCCCTGTGACAATGACACTCCCGCCCTGCCTCGCCTTGCCTCGCCTCACCCTGCAGGATGAGCCTCCTGCCCATCGCCCCACCTGCCAGAGACCCCCTGGATCTCACCCAGCCCTGCTCGGCCCCCACAGGCGTCCCTCCCCACAAGCAACATCGAGGTGATCACGCCCACCTTGTCCACTCCCACCCATTCTGCCATGACACCACAGCCACGCCCACCCAGTGGGCCACGCCCACCTGGCACCTGGTGATAAATAAGTGGATTTTGGGTTGCAGTTTGGGTACTCGGTCTCTAAAAGGTTCGTCATCACTGTCCTACATAAATAATGCTGGTTGCATTCCAAAAGAATGAGAACTTTCCCTCATAGTCCATGTTTATAAAAAAGATAATAAGGGACGTTCCAAAAACTATAGACCTGTAAGCTTCCTAGATACAGTGGCCAAGATGTATGCTAAAAATCAGTTGGTTAGACTAGAGGACTAGGTGTTGAGAGAATTTATTAACAGAAGAACAGGTCAGATTTACATCTAGGCCAGTGGTTCTCAACCTGTGGGTCAGGACCCCTTTGGGGTTGAACGACCATTTCACGGGGGTCTCCAAACAACGCAGTCCGCCATTTTTTCCCCTTTTCCTTAGCTGTGCTACTCCCTTTTATTCTATTGGCTTTTGAAAGCCAATAGAATAGACTCTCTTGAACAGAGTCTAATTCTATTGGCTTTCAAAAGCCAATAGGAATTGTCCAGGCTGTCTCTGCCCTGCTGAGCCTGGACAAAAGTCCCATTCTGCAAATGGTGCTGTACCAGTTGAGTAGTCCTCGACTTACGACCGGTTGAGTAGTCCTCGACTTACGACCGGTTGGGGGTCGCAGCATTAAAAAGGTTGAGAACCACTGATCTAGGTAATCCACCATATGTGGTTGTTTCAGTGTATATCATTCTACAGTGAAATGTATAGCCATCTTTTATAGAGTTTCATGCAACATTTGGTTCCATAAATAAAATATATTGTGTAAAAATCTAGCTGAGCTAAACATGGAAGCCAGGGTTAGAAGTGAAGAAGGTTCTTGGATGAGAAGCAAAACATTTCAAAGAAAAAAACTCAAGAAAGTCCAGTTGCCTTTTGGAAAAGACACCTTTGGGCCAATTATAACCTGGATACTTATACTTGTACCATAGTCCCTATTGAAGTCAATAATTCTTTTACATAGAAAATACTCACTTCTGAATTGTTGGGCAAACATGTATTCTATATTCAAATGTTCATTCAGTAAGTAAAATGCCTTCTCAGAATTTCTTCACTCCTTAGATATTTAAAGATATTTAGGAAATTTGTTAACATGCTTTTATATGCAGGATATGGTATATTTTTGATGGCACTATTGGAAATCAGCACCCACCCACCCTCCTAGAGAAGGAAATATTTGGGGGATATTAAAAAAAGTCAGAATATTATATTTGCCCAAAATAATAATAGAAAATCTTAGGCAGAAACCCCCCCAAGGTCTCTCTCCCCCAAGCAGAAACCAACTTTTAGAAATTCAGATTTGATAATCCTGTTCAGGAAGACTGCGCCAGAAAGTTTGGAGCCGGTGGGATTAGAAAGAAAAAGATCCCTAAAAATCTTCATCCCCCATCAAAAATCTAAAGACATGACCTTTAGGACATAATAAGATTAATCCACCAGAATTAGAGTACCAAAAGAGCACACTGAACCTCAGGTCAAAGTTCATTACACAGGAACAGGAACAACTCCAAACACAAAAGCCCAAGAAGGTATATAAAAATCCACCATTCCCAGTTCCATTTTGTCAGCCACCCCAGAATCACATGCTGTGTCACTGAAGTTTCTGGCAACTAAATAAACAAGAACCTTCTTTCTAAAGCAGTCTCCATTTTGTTTATTCCCAGCTTGGACTGGACCCTGATGAAGATATTTCTTTCAACAGCACATTCTGAAGTAGGCTTGAAAATAACAGAATAACAGTGTTGGAAGAGACCTTGGAGATCTAGTTCAACTCCTGCTCAAGTAGGAGACTCTATACCATTCCTGAAAAATGGCTGTCCAATCCCTTCTTAAAAACCTTTGAAGATGGAGCATTCACAGCACCTGGAGGCAGGTCCTTACAAAAATTAATTGTTCTCGCTGACAGGAAATTTCTCCTTAGTTCTAGGTTGGATCGCTCCTTGATAAATTTCCATCCATTACCTTTTGTCTTGTCCTCAGGTGCTTTGAATAATAAGTTGACTCCCTTTTCTCTGTAACAGTCCTCAAATATTGGAAGACATGCTATCAGGACTCCCTAGTCCTTCGTTAGACTAGACATACCTGACAGAACGTCCTAATTGTGCTTCAGGAAAGCCAAGAAACAGGAACGTTGCAGTATCCAACAAGTTTTCTTCACTATGTTGAAAACGAAGTTAGCACTGGGAGGGACCTTCCTCCAGTGCTCTAAATACATCACATCACCACGCCCAGAGTACACACCCCAATTACCAGTCATAATGAGATTCCACCCGTACCACGCCCAGTCACCCCCAGTGATAAAACTCCACCCACACCACGCCCAGCCTAGCTAACATGTAAATCCATCATTACATTGAGTCCAAGTGTTGCGTTCACACCGTTCTCCTCCTATCCCAGCGTCCAAACCTGTCAGACCCAGCGTCCCAGCCATAACTATAACATATTACGCTTCCTTAATTCGGCCCCTCCCACTCCCATCAGTGCATAGCGGTTGTCTGGACGTCTGCTATCCATGTCAGGTGGTCACATGGTCCGCTCGGCTGCCGCTGCAGAGACGCCAGCAACAATCTCGTAACAGTGTCGGCGGTGCAGCTCACGAAGCCATCGAGGTCGACTGGGAGTGCATGGACCACTCGTTGCAACATTCCACGCTGGACATGGGGATATCGGCAGGTAGGTATCACGCTGGGTCTGACATTCGGCTCCCCCTCACCACAAGGCCCCCTGGAACAAAATATAGTAGATCGATCACACCTGCCGGCATACACATATAACAATTTACTTAACCTCCCCCTGGTTTGTGTGGTAATGTTCTGTGATACCTGTGGATCAGATCAGGGGCAGACACATCCTCCTCCCGTGCCCAGGAGGCATCAGACAGAGGATATCCCTTCCATAATACCAAGTAATAAAGTTTACCCCCCCCTCAGTCGCGAATCAAGTATGTCTTGTATTTCATATCGTCCTGGCGTGACGGGTCCTGGAGGGTTTTCATGGGATTGTCCCCTCACAGGTTTTAATAAACTCACGTGGAAAACCGGATGTATCTTACCAAGTAGTTTCGGTAGGTGGAGCTTCACCGTCACACGATTGATAATCCGGACTATGCGGAAGGGCCCGATGTATTTTGGCGCTAGCTTTCTGCATGGCACCTGTAACTTAATATACTTAGTTGACAGATATACTAGGTCACCTACTCGTAAATGAACTGGTACTCTACGACCTTTGTCTGCTTGATATTTCGCTGCCTGTTCTGCTTGCCCCAGCGCCTGCTTCACTGTGCGCCATACCTTACTCACGTGGGACAACCACTCATCGGGCTGACAGGCCTGGGATTCCTGGGATTCACACTCTGGTATTGGAACAATGTCACGTCCATAGACCACTTGGAAGGGGGTTAGACCAGTGCTCTTATGTACCGCATTATTATATGCAATCTCTGCAAATGGCATAAAATCCACCCAATTTGACTGTTGGTAGGATACATAACATCGTAGATATCGCTCGATAGCTGCATTGGCGCGCTCTGCTGCCCCATTGGTACAAGGATGGTACGCAGAGCTAAGCCCTTGTGTGGTACCAATGAATGTAAGAAATCGACGCCAGAATTGAGCCGTAAATTGAACGCCCCGGTCTGAAATAATCCAACGGGGTGCTCCATGTAGTCGGTAAACTTGCTGTACAAACATTTTTGCCAATCTGCTTGCCGATGGCAATCCCTTACAGGGTATGAAATGGGCTTGCTTCGAAAATAGATCGACCACTGTCCATATAACAGTATATTCTTTTACATTTGGTAAATCCACGATAAAATCCATTCCAATGTCCTGCCATGGCCGAGTTGGATT